GAGAGAGAGAGGGAAGTAGCGAGCGAGTAGCGAGGCAGAGAGGGAGAGAACGACGACGGGTGACAGGTATAAAGATGAACGAAAGTGGGAACGAGCGAGTGCCAAGGAGTGCGATTGAGAGATGATTCGAGCGAGTGCGTTGAAGAAAAATTGAAAAAAAGAAAAAAAAAAAAAGATGAGAAAAAATTATACAGAGAGAGCCGACCTCCTTGCCTACCGGGAGGTCCGCATATATATTAAAGAAAAAAGAGAAGAAAAACTAGTAAATGATAAAACGATGAGAAAAGAGAGAGAAAAATTTAGGAGAAAGAGGAGAAAAAATTATTAGACCAGTTTCTAAGTGTAAGTTATAAAACCAAGGAATTTTCTCCCCCCACCCTTTTCGTGCACGATACTTTTGGCAATTCTTTCGCGAGCGAGAATGCGATCGAGAAATAACTGTGGACGTGTGTGTGTGTGCGAAGCGTGAAATTACATGTGAATAAGAGGGGAGAGAGATTACGTGAGAAAGGAAGAAAGAGAGAAAGAGAGACAGGGAGAAAGATATATGTGTGTATATATATATATATATATACACACGGTGAGAATGTGAATGACAGATCTCTTTAATGAAAAATGGGGGAAAGAAAAAAGGAGAGGAATGAAAAATAGAGGAGAAGAAGGAGAAGAGGACGGGATTATAATGGCCCATTATTACAAGTCCGTCGTCCGACTCAGTAGCGCTATCGAGAAGGACATAATCGATTGCAAAGAGGCAGGCAATACACACAAAGCACCAAGTATGACAGGTACTAAAAGTGTCACGATCCATCCAACCCTTCAACCACCGAGTGTGAGAGCAACGAATGACTAGCGGAAAAAGTGTGAATCTTAATCGGATCTTGCTTGCCAGTGGAACAAACATTCCGACCCCTCCGTTTTAATTCGAAAAAAAGGAAAAATGTCAATTATCCACCTGTAACGTAGTGTTGTATCAGCAACGGAATATATAAAATCCTATGGAATTTCGGTTGTTAAAAGATCCTCCATTCCAGAAGAGAAAGAGAGAAATAAATAAATAAATAAATAAATAAATAAATTAAAGAAGGAAAATTATTCGAAAATACGTTATCGAAACAATTGCAATATTATGCTTCATTCGTTTCCATCGAATTTTTGAGTGGAAAGAAGAACGCCGATCGAGGCGATTCCGTTGCGAGAATCTTCCCCCCGACTTTCTTATCCAACGATCTTCCAAAACGAGGAAACCAAAAAAAGAAGAAGGAGAAAAAAATAAAGAAAGGAAAAGGAAAAAATAAAATAAAGAGAACCCGACGTTACGTCCCGAAACTTCTAATTTATCGCGTTACGTCTGATATCCTTCGTCTGTGATTGAATCGAGGAGCCGGGAGAGGGTGGTGAATGATACGTGCGTGTACCCGAGAAGAGCACACACGAGGATGAATAGATGAGAAATTATGTTTAAAATAATGTCTGTAATTTCTGGCAAAATGTATTATTACTTGCGCATACGTCTCAGCCAAGCAAGTCGTGTTAGGTTATATACGTATTATTGTGTAGGGAATCGTAGGTGTGTTAAGATAAACATTAACATAAACAATAAAACAATAAATAAACATAAACAAGAAAACTAAACGAACGAAAAAGTGTGAAACAGAACCGTGAAACAAAAAATGGAAGAGAGGAATTAAAAAGGGGGAAAAAGAAAAGAAAAAAGAAAAAAAAAGAAAGAACAAACTCAACGAAGAATATATATAT